TGGCTGAGAGCACTGCCCAAGAGTTTCTCAGCTCTGTCAGGCTCAGTGCTGTGACCAATGCCCTGGGGATCTGCTCCAGGGCCCCATACATCTCTGGGGGAAGAACCTTTTTCTAATATCCAACCTAAACCTCACCTAACACAATTTTGATTAGATATTAGGAAGAATTTTTTCCTGTGAGGGTGGTGAGACACTGTCCCAGGTTGCCTAGGGAGGCTGTGGCTGCCCCAACCCTGGCAGTGTTCACAGCCAGGTTGGATGAGCCTTGAGCAACCCGCTCTGGTGGGAGGTGTCCCTGCCCAGGGCAGGGGCTTGGCACTGGATGATCACTAAGCTCCATTCCAACCCCTTAACCTACTATGTTTCTATGATAATGTTCCACTTGCAATGAGCCACTCCTGCTTTGTTACATCCCATGACCGGCTGAGAGTTCCTGTCTTCCTTCTGGAAACATCATAAATTCTGGAGGTATCAGAGATTAAACAGTCTGTCTTCTGGCAGTCTGTGTCCCTCCTGTCTTCCTGGAATGGAATTCCTAGAAAGAAGAGATGTTGCTCATTGTCTGGAGAGAATTCCAATGGCTTTTTAGGAGGACATACATAGTTCATAGCAGCTACTCCCCTTTGGCATGAAAAGCTTCCTCAGATTTCATGTGCCCCTTGGGAACATCAGCATAACTGTCAAAGAATACTACACAGTGGAGATAACTGCCGAGTCAGTCATCTGAGCACGTCATGGACATCCCCCATGTTTCAACTCAACACAAGTTGGGCTTGAAAATGGGGGTCCACCACCACAGCAGTGCTGGAGGAGCTTGTGGGGCCACTGAGTTGCAGTGGTACAGTATCCATGCCAGGTCTCGGGGGTAGGGATGCACATATCCTGAGGACTTGCTGGATGCAGGATTGAACTTTAAATTTGAGAGAGAAAGAGGCATTGAGCTCTGTGGGAGCTGGTGGGTATTCTCTTGGGTCACTAGCCTTTGCTTGAGCCTTCTGTCTTGGTGGCATTTGACATAATTGAAGATGAACTTTGTGTTGTGCATGAGCTTTGAGTTCAAGATGGACTTTGGGTTGAGCACAAGCTTGGGGTTAAATACAAGTTTTGGTTTGAGTACAAGTTCATCCCTGTGTACTTAGCATTGGGAGGCCACACCTTGAATATTGTGTTCTATTTGGGGCTCCTCACTTAAAAAAGGACATAGAGGCACTGGAGCAAGTCCAGCCAAAGGCAGCGAGCTCAGAAAAGGTCTAGAACACATGTCCTGTGAGAAAGGGCTGAAGGAGTTGGGTTAATTTAGCCTTGAGAAGAGGTGGCTCAGGGGTGACCTCATGGCTCTCTGCAGCTCCTGCTAGGGGTTGGAGAGAGGTGGGGGATGTCTGTCCTGCCAGGGCTGCAGGGAGAGGATAGAGGGAATGGCGTTGAGCTGAGACAGGGCAGAGTCAGAGGAGATGTTAGGAGAAATGTATTCCCTGTTAGAGTGTGTTCCGGCACTGGAATATTGCCCAGGGATGGAGTCACCATCCCCAGAAGTGTTTAAGAGTCATCTGGATCTGGTGCTGGAGGATATGGTTTAGAGGTTACGGCAGTGACAGGTTAAGGCTTGGGCTTGATGATCCTAGAGATCTTTATTCCCTGTTAGAGTGTGTTCCGGCACTGGAATATTGCCCAGGGATGGAGTCACCATCCCCAGAAGTGTTTAAGAGTCATCTGGATCTGGTGCTGGAGGATATGGTTTAGAGGTTACGGCAGTGACAGGTTAAGGCTTGGGCTTGATGATCCTAGAGATCTTTTCCAACCTTGATGATTCTATGAATGTTGCCCAGGGAGGTGGTGGAGTCACCATCCCTGGAGGGGTCTCAGAGGCATCTGGGTCTGGTGCTGGAAGATATGGTTTAGGGGTAACAGTAGAGTGACAGCTTAACAGTTGGCCTTGATGATCTTAGAGGTCTCCTCCAACCTTGATGATTCTGTGATTCTAAAAGTTCAGTTCTCATGGTAGCAAAGCCAATAGGTGGGAAGGGCTGTTGGATGAAAATGAGCCTGTCATTTCCCAGATGGTGCCAGCAAACCCTGACTGTCCTGTGTTCTGCCCCCCAGATGCCAGTACGTCGCCCGATGCCGTGAAGAGGAGCCATTGGTGCAACGTGGCCTACTGGGAGCACCGGACGCGCGTGGGTCGCCTCTACACAGTGTACGAACAGTCTGTCAGTATATTTTATGACCTACCTCAAGGCAATGGCTTCTGCCTCGGACAGCTAAACCTGGAAAACAGGAGTGAGACTGTGAGAAGGACTCGAAGTAAAATCGGCTACGGGATTTTACTCAGCAAAGAACCAGACGGTGTGTGGGCCTACAACCGCAGTGAGCACCCCATCTTCGTCAACTCCCCAACACTGGACATCCCCAACTGTAGGACTTTGATTGTGCGCAAGGTGATGCCAGGCTACTCCATCAAGGTGTTTGACTATGAGAAGTCCTGCCTCTTGCAGCACACAGCTGAGCTGGATTATGCAGATGGGCCCTACGACCCCAACAGCGTGAGGATTAGCTTCGCCAAGGGTTGGGGGCCGTGTTACTCCAGGCAGTTCATCACGTCGTGTCCTTGTTGGCTGGAGATTTTACTCAGTAACAATCGATAACAGGCTCTGAGGAAAGGAAAAAGTCAAAAAAGAAAAGAGACACAGACTATCCCAAATATCATCTACCTAGATTTAATATAAAGTTTTATATAT